AAGGAAGAGCATGTTCCCTCTGATGCCTTTTGTACCACATTTGAATCAATGAAAGAAAATATTTTCAAGTATTTGCATGTGTTTCATGTATTTATGATTAGCTCCTCATGATTCGGACACAGTTTGGCGAAGAGGAAGAGTAATAACCATTATTGCCCACCTTCAAGGGTGCTTACTGCACATGCGATGATTTGAGCGATTCATCGGATGGTGCAGGTGAGAAATCTAACTCTCCAGGCCCTCCCGTAGAGTCTCTACCTGAGTGTTCCATTAGGGATGAGCCCAGTAGACCCCTAATGGGGATATTCAGGAAGTCCACTTACGAAGAAACAAGCTCCTTCCTCCAAGGGCAGCTAAGCCTACTCTCAATGAAAAGGGGAAAAAAATCATCATCCAAGAGGTAGATGATCATTGTGAGGTTCCCACACAAAGCAATAGAACCAGGAATCCCTTTAGTATGGTGGATTACAACATGCTTGCACACCTTAAGAGGTTTTCGACATTGTTGAGTATCTATGATACACTCCTATCCTCAGAGCTGAGGGAGACTTTGCTGAAAGCTCTTTCAAAGCCCCAAGTCTTCCATGCCTATTACTCTAAAGAGGGATGAAGGAGGCGGTCTTACCATAAGATATATCTGTTGTTACCTTTTCTAAGGATGATTTACTATTGGGTACTGTCGACCACAATCGTCCCTTGTACGTAATAACTATGATAGACGAGACACAATTAAACCATATATTAGTTGATCCTGACACATAATTAGCATGCGCACCCTCGAGTTGCTTTCATTAAGCGCACGAAGATTTTGCATACGGGATCATGCTAAACGACTTCAACGAAAAAGGCAAAAGACCATAGGGTCATTAATCGCACGAAGATGTCACTCTGAAGGGTCGCCGTGAGCCCCATTGGTAGCAAAGGATTTTGTCAAAGGTTTGTATGTCTCTTTACCGTGAAGTTTTCAACACTTCTCACAAGTATGATTGGGTTTGTGACAGCAATCATAAGTGGGGTGACCAGTCCGAAGCGACACGAACGAGGGCAGAGCATTATTCGAGATCAAGGCGAATGATTCGGCCGAAGGAGTAGAAATGTCGAGCATGACAAATGTTCGGCTCTCTTCCAATGAATCTCGTTGAAAGCAGCGCGAGCAAAAATAACAGGATCCCAACAAAGAATACGACCCCAGACTTCGTCAAAGTTTTTTATAAGGTCAACCAAGAATTGGAACTTGTGATCCTTTTCTACAGTTTTCTGGAAGGGAGAAAGATCGGCCAAAGAATCCCAAGGGTAGTCGTAGTACAGGTCGCATTCCATTGATAATGCAACAAGGTCATTTTAGTAGTGGGTCAAAATCCTTGATCCCTGTTTTGCCTCTCGGGATTTCTTAGACACCTCATAGAGTTGATCGGATTTTCCTACATCTGAGAAGGTATCGCGGACTGCTGTCCAAAGTGCACTAACTGAAGGAAGGAAAATATATGTACAACCAATCGAGGTCTCCATAGAGTTGATAAGCCACGACATGACCATAGAGTTCTTCATTTCTCAAGCTTCATATGTCGAGTTAGGCTTTGGAGGCTCGCGAATCAAACTTGATGAACAAAGACACTGATTGGGACCACTGGAGAAAGTTGCTGTCGTTCAGTTTATGGGTTATGATCAAGAAGTTCATGTTAGTTTTCGGTCATTAGGTCTGCAAGGGCGAGGAGGTTGGAGTTGATTCTCGTGGAATCAAGAACACCTTCTTAAAGTAGCTCAATGTAGGAGGAATCCGCCATAATTCCGACTGAGCCAAAGATGTGGTTCTGAGCCATCGATGAATTCTAATAGGGTCACAATAGATCCTGTACTGATGGATAGGGAAGCACTGGCGGTAGGCAAATCTGCACTACTTCCTCACAGGAGAGAGACAGCTCGCTTGGAAAAAATCCTCACGAGAGACAGCTGCATGGGAAACAAAAAAATGATGGATAGTTTTCCAAGGGAGAGATAGCTGGCTAAAACAATTTGTTGGATAGTTTTCTACGGGATAATTTTCCACAAGGAATGCTAAGAGAAAAACCTCTTTTGGGAAAAGAAGAAGAATTTTCTCCACGGGAGAGAGCCTGCAGGTGGGAGAAAGAACCGGTAGCAGAAAAAAAAGAAAAAACTGCAGGAAATGCCGGCAAATTTATGAATTGAGAGAAGCAGATTATAAATTTACTTCTTATGATTGGACTCATAAGAATCTATCATTATACGGCTCCAGCTCAAGTTGTGTCAAAAGAGAATGGATACTTATTTTATCAAGATGTGTTTTGGAATGATAATACCAACATGATTGACATACCAGGAGCTTGCAACATTCTTACTGCCTTCAACAGGGTCGGCCTGACTACTATGAAGAGATAAAAGCTTCAACAGATAATATCGAAGCTCCCCAAATCCCGAGAAACTGACGCGGAAATGGCCTAAGAGACAATTTTGCAATGATTGCTACAGTACATCGCTAGCAAGGACTGCTTGGACTAGCCCAGGAGGTTTGGTCTACTCTTCCTTTTTGTAGATTTCCCTCCTATTTGAAGTGAGATCCACTCCTTTTTACCATAAATCTATAAATATGTTTTTTTCTATTTTTAGCCCAACTCACCTCCTCCCACATGAAGCCCACACGCGGCATCCTCCCTTCCACGCCTCACATTTATTTGCACTGCTCGTGCTCCACCTCTTCATTCAAATCGTACGCAAATAGAGCCTCCCATACGTGAGAAATCGTACGCAAATAGAGCCTCACATTTATTTGTCCTGCTTGTGCTCCACCTCCTTCTCTAGTGTTCTCTTTCTCTCTCCCACTATCTCTCGCTTCCTAACTCTCGCTCACTGCTCTAATGTGATCAAACATGAAAGGAGATAAGGGATAAGCCCTCTGTTTAACTCCCTCACTGTCGATGTATCTGTTTTGAATGAGCAGGTATCGAAATAGATGTTTTTTTTATTAGTTGATTAAAAATTTTAAAATTGGTTATTACACCTCGAGATGATGGTGATTTGAACGATGCAAACGAAGCTGCACTTGCGTGCGATGAACAAGTCAAACTATGGAGCAGACTATCAACGACAAGTCGTGCATGACTCCAACACCATGTGAGGGAAAATAGCACTTTCTCCTATTCCCCACCTTAATGCATATGTTACATGTTTATCCAATCTTTATAGATTAGGAATATCTCTAATAAAGGAAAGATCCTACAATTAGATCTCCTATAATTAGGTTACCTAATATAGAAAATATTTTTGTAAGATTTCCTATAATCAAGCTTTGTAATATGCAACCATTAGATTTGTTACTTTCCATAATGGCTTCTACAGGCATGGGATCATCCCCTTATCGTAAGGGAGACCAATTTGCCTTTGCAATTATGGTCATGAAAAAATTTTCCATCGCAGTTAGAGAAGTCCCATCTCACATTTTTCTATCATTTTTGGTTGGTGACAATAATTTGATAGGAGGTATGTCTAGTATGTGTGGCCGCAAGTCACTGAGATTGTCTTCAGTCAACCTAGCAAGGTCCAAAACCTAGTACAAGGAGATAGGATTGTGGATGAAATTTTCTTTGAAGATCTTCAATATCAATTTAAACTCAAAGCCAATTGAAAGAAGAACTCATTGGTGCCAGATATATGCACATCAAGATACTTGATATAATAACTGCTCTAGTTGGAGTTGGCAATTAGTGTTAGAGGCCTATGCCAACTTGGTGAGTTCAGCTCTTAGATCATGGTACATGGATGGTCCAAAGTGAGTTCATAGAGCAACCAGAATGCCACCCCATTTTGTAAGTCATTTGATTTTTTTCATCCAATGGTGCAACGAGCTTAACCCGATTGGTAATGTTTTGAAACCCATAAAATTATTTTAACTTTTGAGTTCTGATCTTTAAATTGCCATCAAAGTAACAAGGCCCGTACTAATGTGAATGACCTTCCACTCATTAGTTCAGGCATTTGCATATTGTGGAGTTATTGATAGCAAGTTCATCCGGATTGGTTTTGCCTTTAAATTACTCTTGCCGGGTCTCCAACATCATAAAACAAAGGTTGATTTTATGGAGTGTATACTTGATGGATTAGAGGTGTTCCATGGTGAAGGACAAACGAACGGCAAACCTGACATGTGACTACAGCTTACCAGGTATTGCAATGGGAGTGCAGAAGGGTCGATGAAAACGCAAATTGATAGAATAAAACTAGAATTTGATTCAGTTCTGAGGAACTGAAAGAGCATGTAAACAATTTCAAGCAATTCGACACTAACTCCATGAAAGGTCTAGAGGAAGAAGATGAACAGAAATTTCATTTGTACGTAATATTTTTGCAAACATCCGGTTATACTCTAATACTGCATATAGTATATAGCTCTCATTACTATCTCCTAGCTGCAACCAGGAAAGGACAAGTGCCTAGCTACTTAACCGCTTCACAGTTATAAGCAGTACACCTTATCTGTTTTTTGCCCCCAGCTTGCACCGTCCTACCCTGTTTCCACATGGAGCATTGCAGCCAATGTTGTATAATCTTTGGCCATCTCCTTAGAGCCATTTGTTGTTCTTTCCTATGCATGGATGCAAGCTCCTTGTTACCCACCACTACTGACGTCATACAACACGGAGATCCATTTATGCATCAGCACATGCATCCATCCAAAACATACATCCATGTGCACATTCAACTTCCATACATACATTCATATGCTCATGCTTCACATATATCCATGCATGCATGCATACGTATATATGACTTCCATACTAAATGAATATACACATGTATGCATACATATATGCATAAAAATATACACCAAGTGCAAGCCACCAATTGCGCATACATTAATAAGTATTTCTACTCAAATACATGAACCAAACTCCAACAAATTCATCCAAGCAATACAAATTTGGTAAGAGCGATCAAGGTACTCCTCAGCGAGAATTCAGAAAATAGGAATACTTCTAGAAAAGTACCTTAAGGTTGCTCAGCATTTTCACGGTTGCAGGATTGAAGTAAAGCTGGATGAATGATATAAAAACAGTTAAAGCATTGTTCTTTCAAATTTCAACTTCAGAATCCCTATAACTAAGTAGAATCAAAACAGATGAAATACCTGCATAATAAACTTTAGATAGTTGTTAATGGCATATAAAAGGGCAGGGACAGCCAACAGAACATTATTGCGAGCAGCCTGCAAACAGCACAGTTAAAATAAAACAAAATAAAAATGCAGAACACATGACCCTGATCATATAAAAGCAACAACAAATTTGTCCAATTACAGCCATGGCAAGGGTGCACACAGAAAAGAATTGTAAATTGTGCATTGTAAGATGACTAACAAAGCACTAATTTATAGTTTAGATTATAGTATACGTAAATTAACAGAAAAGTTCTTCCAAGACAGATAAATTGCTTGCTAGTTAAGCTAATATAACAAATTTGCCAATGCAGATTACTGTAACTGCAGTCATCTACTATCAGCTTTTCAAATTTGATGAAATGTACAAACAAAAACTAAAAATAATATAGTTACAGATTGACATAAGAAATAAATTAAGGAAAAATACTTCTATAAATTTTTTACTTCACAAGATTATTGCACAGAATATTAAAAATCTAAAAATAAAAAAGCATCATGCTAAACTTCGGTCTTGTGCTGGCATGGTAAAGCATTACTCATAACAAAAAAGAAAATCATAATACTATTAAATTATGCACAGGATATAAAATTACCAACACAAAAGAAGAAACTGAAAGAAGGGGTTTCTCTCCAACTTTCTGGCGCCTCGCCTGTAAAAAAACTAAGGTGATATGAAATATTGTGAATGCTTAGGAGCAAATAAATGGAATATAATTTAACAAAAAATAAGAAAGAGAATAAAAAAAGGATGCAACAATTCTTCATCAAATCCTCAATCATTCCATGTAAAATGTGGGGAAAATGATATTATAAAGGTTAGCAGATTCAAGTGATCATAGCAGTGTAGATTAACAGATAAAATGATTAAACTACTCACATTGTACGCAATAAAGTAGGCCAAGAAAATAAAGGCAAGTAAATCAACATTGATAACATGCTAAAATCATTAAATTACTAGTATGCTTAGAACGCACTCTAATGGATAAAAAATGAGTCCACAACTAAAAAGAAAAAAAAAATCTGGGAGAGTTTATATAAAGCTAAACTAGAATAGAATATTAGACTATGGGAGAGAAGGGGTAAATTTGGATATTAATAACGTACTTAATGAATCATTTGAACAAATAATGCAAGCTACATGATGTTTCCAATTTGTCAAAAAAATTTAGGTAGAATGTGCAGTATTTAGGCATTGCACATGAAAATGAAACACAAAAGAGATTTAACAAGGGATGGAAGGGTAAAATTGGATCAAAGAAAGTTTAAGCAATGCACAAGCAAATTCACCAACAAATAAAAGGAGGGCCATCCCAAGCAAGCAAGCTCAAGAAGGAAAGTGCAATACAATATATATCTCCATTTTTCTATGGGTGGGCTACAAAATAATTATACAAAAGGCAATTTATGCACATATGCTAATTATTTGAGGTTAACATTAGAGCTTTTGGCAAAGCATGGAAAGGAAAATTATGGCTCAGCGAACAAGCAAAGAATCCTGCTAATTCAAGTTCCAAATATAGAAGGAAACAAAAATATAAAAATAAAAACGTCATGAAACATTTTTATTAATAGGGATGATTTTCCCGCCCTTCTTCTTCGTTCGTGTAATATAATAAATGTGTATCACCATTTACTCATTGGAGTTATGATGAAATGTAATGAAATAATTGGAGTCAAAGTCCTCTGGAGGGATTCATGGCTTTTCCATAAAACAATAATTTGAGCTCATGCTTCTAATAAATAAATAAATAAATAAATATATATATATATATATATTGAAAAGCCCAATTTATTGAAATATAAAGGATACAAAAAGGTTGTATGAGAAGAGTCCAAAATACGCACCCTACCCATACGCTACAAGTACAGTAATCCCCAACAAAAAGATACAGATATACTCAATAAAATGTAAAACAAATTTAAAACATGCAGAAAACAAGTAGCTAGGGATGAGCTAGTTTAGTCTTGCCTCTTCCTAGTCTGAGCTAGTTTAGTCTTGCCTCTTCCTCTAGTTTTAGGAGCGGAGCCAGATAACAAACTTTAAAGAGTCGTGTCATTGTCAGGAGTAACCAGAATTAAGTTTTTTAAGTTTTCAAGTTGGAGTGTGCCCCCAGTCTTCTTCTTCCGCCGAGAAGTGTAAACCTGTCATTTTTTATCTGAAGACTAGTTCATGTGATCCTCGGTCTGATTTGATGTTAGAACCGCAGTAGGAGAAAAGATAGTTGCTGCCACCGCGATAGGTTACAGTGTATGTGAAGCGTGAATTGTTATCTCTACACCTGACGCCTCCTGAATAGGAGCTGTGGGACTATCCTGATTTTCGGTTCGATACACACACACACAAAGATATATATATATTATATATATATATATATACGAATGGCGTTAGCAACGGGCTTTGCTAGGATTTCACCCGATGGCGATTCCCGACGCTAAAACTATCAGATTCACTTCTTTTCTCCATTTAAGCTCGCAAGTCGTCTCTGCAGCCCGACGTCGTCGTTTTGTTTGCCTTACCCGAAGACGACGACGTCTTCCTGTTCGCACGTCGTCTCCTACTGACGACGCGCCTCTCAGCTCGCATTCGCCTTCCTGCCCGACAGACGTGTTCATCTTGCAAGCGCCCGAAGACGACCATGTCTTCCTGTTCGTACGTCGTCTCTAAACCAACGATGCGCCTCTCTGCCCACATTCGCCTTCTTGCCCGACAGACGTTTTCGGTTCGCACGTCGTCTCGCAGAAGGACGCTTCTGTCTGCTCGCATTCTGCCCGGCAGACGGTTTCTTCTGGCATCCTGCCCGACTCTTTCTGTCAGCAACCTCGCTGCTTAACTCTGACAGCTCTCATTGCTTTGGTGGCGCTTCCTTCTTTTTTGGTTGAGCCGAACAAAGTCTCATTTGCTCACGTAGTGGGTAACTCTCAGGCGGAGTCCGCTGTGGTAGTTCCCTCAAGTTATAAGAAATGTTGCGAGGGTACAGATGATTGTCATTTTGTTAAGAAAGAAAGTAGGAAAGGTGAAAAAGCAACAATTTTTTTCTCTGAATCAGAAATTTCTACCCTGACAGAAAAATTCAAGTTTGCTCTCATTGAAAAATTTCAGTGGGGACACCCTACTATGGATGTTATCAGAAAGGAGTTGATAATCTTAAGCTAGTAGGCAAGTGGAAAGTGAGACTCATGGATGGAAGACATGTGTTGATCTAACTAACAATGGCTGAAGACTACACCAGCAATTTTTTCAAGAAATATCTTAATATTGCAGGCAAATCAATGAAGTTACTCAAGTGGTCTCCTGATTTTGACCCAAATCATGAAACTCTCATTGTACTGATATGTTTTAATTTACCTGGTCTAAAGCTGCCTTTTTTTCATCATCAGGTTCTCTACTCTATTGGGGTCATCCTTGGAGATCCTTTGAAGCTAGATCTGCCCACTTTCAACCTAAACAGACCCTCGATGACCAAAACTACTAGTAAGACCCAACTCAAGTAACACTGATTAAAGGGTTAAGAAAATAAATTTAAACAAATATATAAATATTTAAACCTAATTTCATATATTATATATGCAATCAGCATAATAAAACAGTTGACTAAAAGTTAACAATTAATTAAAATAAAATAGACATAGTTTTCATTTAAATTTTACTTTAAAAATAATAACAGGTATGATGTGATTGCTAAATATTAATCAAAATGCTATATTTAAATTTCAATAAGTTTCGTATCGCAATTTAAAGGTAATGATAACATGAATTATAAATAATGATATATACGATGTGACATGTAAATATACATTAAATAATTATACTTCAACATGATGTGTCATAGATAAATTTAACGGTATTAGCATGATGTATAAGCTAGATTTATAAATTCTTCAGTTTAACTTTAAGTTAGTGCCACATGTCATGTATATATTATGCCAAATGTCACCTCTTAATTCAATTCACAACTTTTGTGCGTGTGCGTGTGTGTCTATATACATCTAGAGACACATACCAACCACAGAGAGAGAGAGAGATTTACCTGGAACAAGAGCATGACAATAGCAAAAAGGACTTTTGTCAACTCTGTCAAAAAGTTTACACTAACTGGACTGAATTTGAACTTGCCATCCACTTTGGACATATAAACCAGAACTGGCTGTGCACCAAATACAAATCATTAATTTTAGAAAGCAGCTTCTTTGGCAAGGTCGAGCATATTATTTTAGAATATGATACGAAAAGAATTGTAATTATGTTTAATTTATGTTCATAATCATCAATTCTGGATGCCTTTCTCAAACAGATTATGAAGTTTATTCCATAAACACTACATGCTTAATAAATGAGCAAATCATTATATTTCATGTTGGGTTCTATCGACAAAATGTGATAAAATAAATATCAGGATGAATGGAATTCTTTAGCTGGAGAAAGGAACAGTTTAAATTTTCTAGGAAACCAATAAGTCCCCTTTTTGTATGCTTTTGCACAGCACAGTAGGCATGGATCAAAAATACCAAGCTAATATTGCATGCGTCCTTCATTTTGACAAGAATGTGTGATATCTATGGTGAGATTCCTTTCTCTATTGATTTTCTGAGGTTCAGAATATTCAATGATTTAAAACTTCACATTCTACATCAGTTTGAATATGCATATCAGAAAATCAACCAAGTTAGAAGAACAATGTGAAAAGTTTACCAAGAAAACATCCACCAATTTTAAATCACTATACACATCCAAGATTGCTAGAAAATCTAACAATAGTCTACCTAGTTGCATTAGATAATGATCCATGTTAAATGTTTTACTTGTTCAATTTTGTCCCAGAAAATCAATAGCATACTTTTAGGTTTACATAAGATTATGAAACTTTGTTGACTCAATTTGATCCAACAAGCATATCTAATTTCAGCATTCATGCCTACACGGTTGGATCTCACATAAAAGAGTTGAGAAGATTCCCAACAAGGTCGGTTTGTCTTGAGGATACTCTCAACTTGCATGCAATTAGAATATTTTAACAATGAAATGAACCAAAGAACCTGCATTGCCAAAAAAATATGCAGTAACATTTTTTAAAGAGAAAAAGAAGAAATTGTTCGAGGAAGCATAAGCAGTACAGATAAACCATACAGATGATGATCAATGAGTACATAAGATCGGTATAACTCAAAATAAATAATATGAATAATAGTCATTAACATATAATGGCTATCTTTTCCAGTCACCTGAAGGCCAACCAAAAAGCAGTCCCCAATAACTAAAAGAAAGTTGAGAGCACGGAACTTTGACGATAAGTTGCTATGATGCCTATCATATGCCTTTGAGATAGCTCTACTGTTTGGGGAGAGCATTTTGGAATGACAAAAACTGCATTCTATCACTCCGTTTTTCAACATCTCCGACATCTCCGCTGTACGGATGAAGTGCATGGTTTAGATTAACGCAAGGTAAATAAATTAAAACTGCAGGTTTGGCATCAATTGTAAACATCTGAAAAACGAAATACATGATATTGAAGAACTAAGGAGAGTTGGTTCAAACAACTTTAAAAAGATTAGGGTGAAATACTAAAACCACAAAGAAGAGGAGATGTTCAAGCAATTATCAGATAGAGAAATCCAAGTAAATTGAAATAAGCACATTTTTTTAATAACAAAACAACTACCAAAGAATTCAACCGTCCATGCCAACAATAAATCGAAGGTTTAGTTCCAGAGGATTCAATTGTCACCATCAAAACGTTCATAAAAGTTATAAGGTAAATACCGTAACAATTTAATATCTCAAACGCTTTCTCAACTGAAACCTTGATGAAAAATTTAAGTAGAGAAGAGAATGACCGTGGCAAAGTCAAATCTAAATCTTGACATTATTTGTTGGAAAAAGTTACCTTAAAGAGGATATAAAGCCAAACTAGATCTCAGATCTCTATTAATGATGCAATCGGAATTGGATTGCCATATGATCTAACACAGACGAAGTTAGCGGAATTCAAGCTGCGGGGCTGATTCAAAAAGCCGGCGTTCATCCGCTCACATCAGATCCGACAGGTATCGCGGATACAGATTTCGAAGGGTAGAAATGCACACGAGATCCGGGGAAGAAGAAAGAACAGTATCGAGATACGAATAAGCGCGCAATTATATATCCGCGGGGGAAGTCAGACTCCCATCGCATTTTCTCTTAATTTATTTAAGTGTTGTTTGGTTTATTGCTGAAAATGAAATATAACGTAAAAAATTTGTAAACTTTGCTGATTATAATATATTTAAATAATTTGAAATTATTTGATTTAATTTAGAATAAATGTAGGATTTATATTTTTTATTTGATTTGAAGTAGGTTGAAACTAATATATTTTAAAATATATTTTTTTTGGTCTGGCGGTTGAGAGGGCTGGCAGTGGTGAGTAAGTGGCCAGGCTGCCTGCCAGCAGAGAGCGACCAGCTGCTGGTCGACAAAGGTGAGCAGCTAGCGACGACGAGTGATAGGCAGCCGAAAACGGCGAGCGACAGACAGCCGGTAGTTATGGCTTACCTATAGCATTTTACATGAATGATGTAATTCAATTTCTTTCTTGGCCGAATTTTAAATTCAACCAAAATGAATTACTGTATAAACTTTTAATTCATTCATACTTTACATTGTATTTTTAATTCTTCATGTAAAATAGATATTTTTTTCAAATCCTGAGAAGCAGATGAATAATCATCCGCTTCCAGAAGAAATCGAAGAATTTTTTGGAAATCCTACAAGAAAAAATCGTTCTTTTTTCTCTGACAAATGGTCAGAACTTCATCTGGGTCTGAGAGGTCTACTAGATATCACAAATTGTTGAAAAAATAATAAGATGTTTCTTTTGTCCCTTCCAGACCAGCGGAAAAGAAAGAAAATGTTCATATTCAAGATAATTACGTAATAAATAAAATTAATTAATTATAACTTAAATGAAATAATAAAAATGTTATAATATAAATATAAAAAAGATAAATATATAAAATATAATCATGTAATAATATAAAATATTCTTCAGGCATATTTGTATTAACTTTTATATAAAATTTATATAAAATTAAACTAAATCCTAATTTAAATCAAACTGAATTTTTAATTAATTCATTTATTGCAATCAAATTTGATTCAAATAAATACTAACAGGTTTCATATTGCTTTATTTTAATCTTCAAATTAAGTACCAAGCTTAATTAATTAATTAATTGAGATTTAGCTGCACTAAATGGAAAATTATTTCTGGTCCTCTGCATACCTTTTCTTTAATCCTTTGTATACTTATAAGTAACAATTACTTCCCTCCCTTCTTGCATATATATATATA